GCTCACACAATATTTCTGCTCCTTCTCTCAGGACCCACTGTCTTTGATGTATCTAGCTCACTCAGAAGTTTCTTCACTTCTCCTGCCATATGTATTGTGTCAAGCATATGCTGGTGCACTCTACCTCTTGGTCTCTGGTATTATCCCTATTTCCACTTTGAATACCTCGTTAAATTCCTAGCCGAGTTCCTCACAGACTTCCTGGTCATTCTTCGACCAGGGTTTCTTCTTTTTATTTTTAATAAGCTGTATGGGAGAAGGGGTTACTAGCCCCCATTGCTACTGGCATTTTTGCTGACTTTTTCAACACACCTGGCTTATGGAGGAAAATTTCTTAAACATACCACTTCCTTGTAGATATGAAAGGAAGATAATAAGAAATAATAATGAGGGTATGTAAAGGTAGAAAGTTGAAAGTGATTATAGATAAGAGTAAGGTGATGAGGGTATCAAATGATTTAGATAAAAAAAAATTGGATATCACATTGGAGAGAGGGAGTATGGAAGAAGTGAATGTTTTCAGATATTTGGGAGTTGACTTGTCAGCAGATGGGTTTATGAAATATGAGGTTAACAATAGGATTGATGAAGAAAAAATGGTGAGTGGTGCCTTGAGGTATCTGTGGAGACAAAAAACTTTATCCATGGAGGCAAAGAAGGGAATGTACGAAAGTATAGTGGTACCAACACTTTTGTGGGTGTGAAGCTTGGGTTGTAAATGCTGTGGCGAGGTGGCGGCTGGGGGCAGTGGAGATGTCGTGTCTAAGGGCAGTGTGTGGTGTAAATATTAGGTAGAGAATTTGTAGTGTGGAAATTAAGAGGGCATGTGGAGTTAATAAAAGTACTAGTCAGAGGGCTGAAGAGGGGTTGTTGAGGGGGTTTGGTCGTTTAGAAAGAATGGAACAAAGTAGAATGACTTGGAGAGCGTATTAATCTGTAGGGGAGGGAGAGTGGGGTAGGGGTCGTCCTCGAAAAGGTTGGAGGGAGGGGGTAAAGGAGGTTTTGTGGGTGAGGGGCTTGGACTTCCAGCAAGCATGTGTTTGTGTGTTGGATAGGAGTGAATGGAGACAAATAGTTTTTGGGACCTGGCAATCTGTTGGAATGTGAAGGGATTCAGGGAAACCAGTTAACCAGACTTGAGTCCTGGAAATAAGAAGTACAATGTCTGCACTTTAAAGGAGGGGTTTAGGATATTGGCAGTTTGGTGGGACTTCTAAACTGTCGTATCTGAGCACCTCTACAAAGACAGTGATTATGTATGAGTGATGCTGAAAGTGCTGAATGATGATGATAGTATTTTTCTTTTTGGGTCACCCTGTCTCAGTGGGAAACGATCGATGTGTAAAAAAAAAAAAAAGAACTATTAAGAAAAACCAAAGAAAACTCAGACAAGTGTGTATACATAAATGTGTACTTACATGTGTAGCATGACCTAATTTTAAGTTAAGGTAGCAAGATGTGCCTGTTGTCTTGTGTGTTTATGAGGCAGAAAAAAAACATCAGCACTCCTACCATTATATAAAACAAATACAGGTTTCTTGGCTTAAACTCATTTGGCAGGACAGTAGTACCTTCCTGGGTGGTTGCTGTCTACCAACTTATTATAATTACTACTACTACAAAAGAGATGGTAAAAATTATAAGAGAAAAAGTTTACTGAGTATACCAGGTAGTGTGTGTGGTAAGGTTATTATTGAAAGAATTAGAGGTAATGCAGAGAGCAGGATTGCAGATGAACAAGGAGGCTTTAGAATGGGTAGGGGATGTGAAGATCTTCACAGTTGAAAGTGAACATAGATAAGAGTAAGGTGATGAGGGCATCAAACTAGTTAGGTGAAGAAAAATTGGATATCACATTGGAGGGAGGGAGTTCAGATATTTAGGAGTAGATTTGCCAGCAGATGGGTTTATAAAGAACAAGGTTAACCATAGAATTGATGAAGAAAAAAAGGTGAGTGGTGCATTGAGGTGTCTATGGATACAAAAACTTTATCCATGGAGGTAAAGAAGGGAATGTGTGAGAGTATAGGGGCACCAACACTCTTACATGGGTGTGAAGCATGGGTTGTGAATGTTGCAGTGAGGCAGAGGAGGGTGGAAGCAGTGGAGATGTTGTGTCTAAGGGCAATGTGTGGTGTAAATATTATGCAGAGAATTCGTAGTGTTGAAATTAGGAGGTGTGGAGTTACTAAAAGTAGTGACTCGACTTGACTCACGAAATCGTAATGACACGATTGCAAATAAACCATACCCCGGCCGGGATTGAACCCGCGGTCAGAGTCTCAAAACTCCAGACCGTTGCGTTAGCCACTAGACCAGCTAGCCACAATAAGATTCGTCCAACTAGGTATATTTCTACACCATAAGAAGGTTAGCATAGGCACCACTGTGACCACAAATGCAAGTTTTTACAGACGAATCTCCAGCTAGCGTGGCCGTGACGAACTCTAGCTCAAGCCCCCTCACTGCCATCAACATGACTCACGAAATCGTAATGACACGATTGCAAACAAACCATACCATTCAGAGGAGGGGTTGTTGAGGTTGTTTGGACATTTATAAAGGATGGAACAAAGTAGATTGACTTGGAGGGCATATAAATCTGTAGTGGAAGGAAGGCGGGGTAGGGGTTGGCCTAGGTAAGGATGGAGGGAAGGGGTAAAGGAAGTTTTGTGTGCAGTGGACTTGGACTTCCATCAAATGTGCATGAGTGTGTTAGGAGCAGATGGAGATGAATAGTTTTTATGATTTGACATGCTGTTAGAGTATGAGCAAAATAACATATATGAAGGAATTCAGGGAAACCAGCAAGCCGGACTTGATTTCTGGAGGTGGGAAGTATAGTGCCTGCACTCTGAAGGAGGGGTGTTGATATATGGCAGTTTTTTTTACTCTAGTGTAGGGATGCCTCTGGCAAGACAGTGATGGAGTAAGTGATGATGAAAGTGTTTCTTCTTTTTTGGTTTCTTCTTTTTCGGGTCACCCTGCTCCAGTGGAAAATGGCTGATGTGTTAATAAAAAATATATAAAAGAAGAAAATTAAAAATGAATGAAGAAAAGAGCAGTGCGATGAAAGTAACACAAAGTCTGGGCAATGATAGATTAAAATCAGATTGCAGGAAGGGAATATAGAGGTACATAGTGGATGTGTTTTAATACACTGTCCATCTCCTGCTGAGGTAGTGTGACTCAAAAAAAAAAAAACACTTTTGCTGTCATTTATTCAATTGTGCTAACCTCACAGTTCAGATGACCATCCAAACTGCAGTATCCCCACCCATCCTTCAGAGTGTAGGCACTGTACTTCCCACCTCCAGGACTCAAGTCTGCCTAACTGGCTTCCCTAAATTCCTTCATAATAAATGTTACCTTGCTCACACTCACTCCAACAGCACATCACATCATAAAAAACACTTTCCCCTACTCCTGTCTAACATGCTCACACAATGTAGTATTTAGATACTTGGGAAGAGACTTGTCAGCAGGTGGGCTGTGAAAGATGGGGTGAATCATAAAATAAATAAAGGTAATATAAAGTGGGTGGTGTGTTGAGGCATCCATAGAAAGAAAGGTTGTCTGTGGAGACAAAAAATGGAATGTACCAGTGTATAGTAGTACATACACACTTTTATATGGGTGTGAAGCATGGGTTTTGAATGTTGCTGTGAAATGGAGATGATGGCAGTGGAGATATAATGTTTAAGAATGATGTGTAGCTTGAATATTGTGGAGAGAATTCAGAGCATAGAAATTAGAAGATGATGTGGGGTCACCAAGGGCATAATTTAGAAGGCTGAGGAAGGATTGTTGAGGTGGTTTGGGCATGAAGAGAGGATGGAGAGGGATAGGAAGACAAAGGGGGAGTATAATATGAGGTGGAAGGTAGGAGGGGGTAAAAGAGGCTTTGAGTTTTAAGGGCTTGAAAATCCAGCAGGCTTGTGTAAGTGCATTAAATAGTAGTGAATGGAGACAAATAGTTCTTAATAGATGTGCTGTTGAAGTGTGAGCAAGGTAACTTTTATGAAGGTATTTAGGGAAACCAGTTAGATGACCTTGAGTCAGGAGGTGGGAAGTACAGTGCCTGCACCTGAAGGAGTGGGGATGTTGCAGTCAGAGGGTAATCTGAGCTGTGATATCAGCACACTTCTGGAAAGACAGTGATTAGATGAATGATGGTCAGTGTGTTTCCTTCTTTGGGTCACCTTGCCTTAGCAGATGTCCATTAAGTTAAAAAAAAAAAACTCGGGCAGTCTCCCACTTAGGTAGTGTGACTTGACAAAGAAGAAAACACTTTCACTGCCACTAAACCATTGTCTTGCCAGAAACAGTTTGGAAGGGTATTTGAAACATAGTGTCAGCTGTCTCTGGCAAGACAGTGATAAAGTGAGTGATGGTGAAAGTGTTTCTTCTTTTTTTGGGGGGTCACCCTGCTTTGGTGGGAGACAGGTGGTGTGGTAAAGAAACAAAATTAAGCCTATGAGGAATTACATCTATCACCTTAAGGTGTACATAATCTTTTTTTGTGTACAAGTCACAGTAAAAATTCATTATTATTCATTAATTTTTTAATTTATATTAATTTACCTGATAGAGCACTACTATTTAACAAGACAAATAACCAGTATCATTACACTTCACAATATTTTTTTTATTTAGCAAAGCTGAGCACATTTGCAGTATAGTGTTACAGTATATGATAGTTACATAGTGAGAACAATGTTTTCACTGTCCCATTCCATCATGCAGGATGAGTCGCATGCATAATGTTGAAATGTATCAGCCTCAGCTGGGAGACTTTATTTAGGTCATGAAGATATTGTCAAGTATTCCACTATGGCACCTTCAAAGGTTGCTTGTCAGCAGAGCTGGAGTTACTACTACATAGGAATAACCATGTGACATAGCCTAGGGATACTGGCTTTCTCATGTTAATTAGTGGATTTCTATAATTTATTTTTAGTCACTTGTGAAATTATCAAGATTACTTTGTGTTAACTTAGCTCCAGCACACTTTCCTGAGAAGCTGGGTCGTGTGGTAGTAAGGCTGGGTCAAACTGCAGTGTTGCGCTGCCCAGCGCATGGTGACCGTCCTATAGATATTCTATGGTCAGTTGATGGCCGTCGCCTTGACCCTCATGCAGATCCTAGGTGAGTTACTGTATGTGTACCTTCAATGCATGACTCTTGGCTGTCTATTTTGGCATAATTTTTACCTCGTTCATTTCCATTTCCTTGTTCAGAATCTTAACCAGATATTTTATTTGCATTCAAGTTTCAGAGAGGCTAGAAGAGCATTTAAAGGGGATGAAAGAGCATTTAATGATGCTCAAAGAGCATTTAATCTGTTAACTGTCCAATTGTAGATCTACATTGTCACTGCTAACTCTGAATATTTTGAAATTTTCTTGTTAAAAAAAGTATGCAATTTTCTGTGTGTAATAAGACCAAAAAAAAAAAAAATTTTAGGGTCAGTACTTACCAAGATATAAGACCGTGAAGTTGGCACTAGATGCTCACCTGACAGCTTGCTCTGTAGACTTTGCCCTGTGCAGTTGCAGAAGCTCTGACTCTCATCTTTACAGTCTTCCTTCGATCCCCGTTGGGGAGGGGAAGCTTTACCTTTATTGTCGTCATCTTTGATCTTTCATGATGAACTATTCTAATCGTGTTAAGATTAAACCTTGCAGGGGAACTGTAAATGACTCTTCAAAACTTGCACTTGCAGCTGTCATTAGGGGCGGCTTGCAAGTGAAGTGACACTATTCTGACGCTCCAAGATGCCTTCATTGTTGTGTGTAATGATGATGTTGAGGCTGAAAAGCTACTTGCCTCTTCCACCACCATCACTCTCACTGACCAAGGCTTTACCGTCATGTCCTCCATGGCTTTAAGGGCCAAGAGGACTGTCTTCCTCAGGAAACTAGACAAACTTCTTTCTTCACAACCCATTGATGACCTCAAGACCTCCATTGAAGACCAGAACTCCTGGGCTACAGTGGAGCGCATTACCAAAATTCTTACTGCTTCATCCATGTTTAAAATCACATTGATGTGACCATGGTTGCCCATGCTGTGGCTGAGGGTCTGGCCATCTATTATTACTTCATAAGCCCCAGTTATATTGAAGCAGAAAGGTACAACCATATCCCACAATGCTGGAATTGCTATTCTTATATGCACAGCACTAAGGACTGCCCCATTAAGGACAGGAAGTTCTGCACGACTTGTGGTTGTGAGGGTCACGATTTCAAGACATGCTCCACTACCACTTCAACACCAACTTACCTGAACTGCAAGAGCAACCACCACACTCTTGCTGCAAAATGTCCTACACAGCGTGAAATGTTGAAAAAACTCAAGAAGCAGCACAGAAGAAGTCCTCTTCTAGATCTCCCACTTAGGCTACTATCACCAAATTACAGGCAGATACTACTAAACTTCTCCAGGCTGCTCAAGCCTCCACCACCACCACCTTCATACCTGTGACCCAACCAAAATTTACTACTGTATGATGTATGCCAATATGCAGAATATGTCTCTCCCTGGAACCTTCAACACCACCATTAATGAGCTCTTCAGAATGAACATGCCAGAGTTTACTTTCCCTGCTTCCCCACCTTCTTCAGCCATACTCAAGACCACCTCAAATTATGTCAATGTTTCCATACCAGTAAGCTCTAACAGCTCCACTACCACCACCACCTTCATGTGATGAGACTCCTCCAAATTCCACCAATGAGAGGCCACAGTTGACTTATTCCACCACTACTGCAGTGGACCAGTCAGCCAGCACCATCGAAGACTCGCCCTCTGTATCCTCTTTTGGGGAAGAGGAGGAAGATGTTGATGACTCCTGCATCAGCTCACCTACTTAGGGCAACCTGACTTTCTATACATCTCCTTTGAATGAGGACACCATGACCTGCACAGAACTGTACAAAGGGCTCTGTGCAAGGTCTGTTAAATTCACTTGTGAGACTCCACACCATTTCACTCTAAACAAAGTTCTGGAGCTCATCAAACCACTCCACTTTACTTTTGGTAACAAAACAAAACTGTACCACTTCTCCAGAACTAATTTCAAGAAATTTGAGAATGACTATTCACTAAATGCTCCACATTAAATAACACCTACAACTGAGCTGCCTCTATTGTCCCCACCTACCTCCCTTCCTGTGACCAAGCCTGCTGCAAGCTACCCAAGAACCAAGACTTCCACCAACTAAGAACAATGCATTCTTGTCCTCCGGCTACCTCTCCTGCTTCTTCAGTCCTTTCCATGAGTGTCTAGCTGCTGGGTTAAGCCCTGACACTATCTCTTTTACTCATAACTTTCCTCTCACTAGTCTACTCTTCCCTGCTCACCCCACTTTCTTGCTCACCTCACTTCCCCGCTCACCCCACAAAGGTCTTACTTAAACTTTCTTGTCCTGCAACATGGAGTCCTGCCACTCCCAGAAATGTTTTTGATATACCTTTTTTGTTTTTAATTTATATAATTTTTATGTTCTGATAACTACACTTTGTAGTAATTCTTGTGATTTCATAGCCAGTGTTTGTTCTGACACTAATATTAGGTACTGAAATAGTACTCAAATAATCACAAACACACTGACAGGTGAACATTTTCAAATGTCTTGGTCACATACTATTGTCGAGAAATATATACAAAGTATTTATAGGTCCCAGCAATGTTTTAGACATGCTGGAGTATATATGAAACTCCTTGAAGCACAGTGTAAGATGAATGTCACTCCACTGCTGACAGTGCACCACTCTGATATTGATGACTGTGCACTGCTCCAGTGAACCTTAACTTTATTTGTTTTCACTGTTACATATGTCTGTCTAGCTCTGTCTCTGTTTATCTGTCTCTGCTTATCTGTCTTTCTAACTGCTTGTGTGTCTGTCTTCCTGTCTCTCTGTCTGCTTCTCTCTCTGTCTCAAAGAGAGAGCCACTTATGAACCAACAGGTATTACACACAATGCAGAGTCTGATTCCTGAACAAGTGAAAATGTGTATTACTTGCCAGTCATGCTTATTATGTCTTATATCTACCATCACAGTATAGCACTGTCTGGATTTTTTGGGTTATCCTAGGTAATTTACTCTATGTATGATAACTGTATTTATGTGTACCTGTGAGATAGAGACAGACAGACAGACATAAACAGAGATAGACAGAGACAGAAATAGAGATAGACACAAACAGAAATAGACACAGACAGAAATACAGTGGAACCTCTACTTGTGAGCGCATCCACGTGCGAGTTTTTCCGTACGAGCAGTCAATGGGTCAATTTTTTATTTCCTTACACGAGCAAAATTTCCATAAGCAAGCAGACCTCAAGACAGGTTCCTTGACACTGGTGAGGGGCTCTTGCTCTTGATCTAGGGAATTGTATCTCATTTGTTTGTTGGACTATCTTATTGAAACTTGGGCAATGTATGATGGAAAGATGCTTCTTAATGTACACCAAAAATGAAAGAAATCTAAGCATAAATAATGGAGTTCACTTCTCAGCATTTGCCACCTCTTAGCAGTATTTTCGTATGGTTTTTTTGGTTGTATTCTCGTTTTTTGGTCTCATTTGATAGAATGGAAGATATATTACAGAAATAGGTATGATTTTGATTGCTTTCACAACAAAAAGTACCTTGAAATTGAGCTCAACACAGGAGAAATGTTCGATTGTTTTGGCTATGTTCAAGAGTAAACAGTAAACTGTCCATTCCAATATGCAGTCATGAATGGGTTGACATTATTTATACAATTATTGCAATAAGACATAACAGTAAATCTTATATTTATTTATTTAGTAATTTTAGCATACATACAGAGGTACAAAAAAATACAGGTAAGAGCAGCATGCCAAAGCCACTTATATGCATAGCATTACGGGCTGGCTTAAACTTAACTTAAGATTAACTAAGCAATGATGAAATCAGTGATAAAACATTATTGTAAACAGATAGGTAGTAGGTTGGTAGACAGCAACCACCCAGGGAAGTACTACCGTCCTGCCAGATGACTGTGAAACAGAAACCTGTAACTGTTTTGCATGATGGTAGGATTGCTGTTTTCTTTTTCTGTCTCATAAGCACGCTAGATAACAGGGATATCTTGCTACTCCTACTTACACTTTGGTCACACTTCACAGACATGCACATGCATATATATGTACATACATCTAGGTTTTCTCCTTTTTCTAAATAGCTCTTGTTCTTCTTTATTTCTTCTATTGTCCATGGGGAAGTGGAAAAGAATCTTTCCTCCGTAAGCCATGCGTGTCGTATGAGGCGACTAAAATGCCGGGAGCAATGGGCTAGTAACCCCTTCTCCTGTAGACATTTACTAAAAAAGAGAAGAAGAAAAACTTTATAAAACTCGGATGCTTAAATGTGCGTGGATGTAGTGCGGATGACAAGAAACAGATGATTGCTGATGTTATGAATGAAAAGAAGTTGGATGTCCTGGCCCTAAGCGAAACAAAGCTGAAGGGGGTAGGGGAGTTTCAGTGGGGGGAAATAAATGGGATTAAATCTGGAGTATCTGAGAGAGTTAGAGCAAAGGAAGGGGTAGCAGTAATGTTGAATGATCAGTTATGGAAGGAGAAAAGAGAATATGAATGTGTAAATTCAAGAATTATGTGGATTAAAGTAAAGGTTGGATGCGAGAAGTGGGTCATAATAAGCGTGTATGCACCTGGAGAAGAGAGAAATGCAGAGGAGAGAGAGAGATTTTGGGAGATGTTAAGTGAATGTATAGGAGCCTTTGAACCAAGTGAGAGAGTAATTGTGGTAGGGGACCTGAATGCTAAAGTAGGAGAAACTTTTAGAGAGGGTGTGGTAGGTAAGTTTGGGGTGCCAGGTGTAAATGATAATGGGAGCCCTTTCATTGAACTTTGTATAGAAAGGGGTTTAGTTATAGGTAATACATATTTTAAGAAAAAGAGGATAAATAAGTATACAAAATATGATGTAGGGCGAAATGACAGTAGTTTGTTGGATTATGTATTGGTAGATAAAAGGCTGTTGAGTAGACTTCAGGATGTACATGTTTAAAGAGGGGCCACAGATATATCAGATCACTTTCTAGTTGTAGCTACACTGAGAGTAAAAGGTAGATGGGATACAAGGAGAATAG